GGTGGTGTTGGAGTTGCGCGAAGGGTGCGGGCCGAACTTTTGTCGCGTGGGGTTTCGGCAAGACGCGTTGCGCGGGCCTATGACGCATGGGTTGGCGCGTTGACATGTGAGCGGCCATCTATAGTCTCGCAGACATCATCATTGAATCTTCAGAGTATATTTGGATTACTGTACATCTCTGATCTAAATACGTTACATTTGTGACTGATGTGTACGGGCAAGTTTTGCACATGAGCATGAACACGCACCTACGCACGAGAGCGCATATGATGTAGGCATTGAAATACATTTGCACCACGATAAGGTCCAGCAAGTCATGTTGGGGAACAAATTAATTGCCAATGTATTCGAAGCGGCAAATGAGGCGTACATTAATAAGATGCTGACACGAAGCGTAAGGAATAGCCATTCCGACGAAGTATGCAATCTTGACACAATACTCTGACAAAAGATCCCAGTGTACATGATCCATTGATGTATTGTGTAGGGCCCATAAGAAATCCGCAGATGAGAGATCTACGATGTGCGTGCTGGGGGATGACAGATGTACTGACCCCACCGTATTCTCGGGGTCTGGAAGGCGGAAGGAAATGCGACATGTGTGCGTAAGGAGAAGTATGTTTTCAGTAAACGCGTTTACTATTGTTGCGGTAGGAGAAGGGTATTGATAGAGGTATGCGTCGGAGATGTTATCGTCTATTCATGAAGATCGTGTTGAACGTCTCGTAGACCGCGTCTTCGCAATCAAGCGGACAGCAGCTTTCTGAACCGGTCGCGGCTTGCCGATATGATGCCCGGGTCTGAATCTAGTGATAGCGCAGATTGAGCACGGTTTGCCGAATTGCTCCTTACGGGCATTGTGGAATTCTCGAGTACGGTAGAGTTGTAGGGCTAGCGCTTCCACGTCAACACGCAAGACCCATACTGAGCCGGGATTGCCTCTGATGTGGCGGGAGGCGAGAACGGTGGCAGCGGAGATGTGGTATTGCATCTGCACTTCATCGACTGTCTATGAATCTTTGTCAGCTCATGCGGCGTAAGAGGGGAAAGATTACTGGGACGAACGCACCAAGGTCTGACGGTAGAAGCACCCTTCACAAGCCGTAATGATACGTTTGACAAGTGGAAAAGGATAGGTGTCTAATGCCGCAAAACAATAGATACACCTCCGAGGGGCATGTTGCAGCCATAGTCGTCGATATACGATATGACTCATATCTGGATGGACGACACCGTACCTGTCCAGCTGGGCGAACGGCAGATTGAATATGTTGCATTGTCGAACGAGATGCGAGCAGTACCCCTCCACAAACTCATTACATCGTCTGGACGTGCGCGACAGGGCATTGAAAGGATGTGGAAGTACATGAAGAGAGAAGATATCGGCAGCCCAACGATGACTGTCTGCACCTTGGGTCAAGTCTTCTTCGTCCTTGATGCTCCGCTTCTGCTTCTCCGACACATCGTATCTACTCTGAGTCTCAGTGAGGCCCGGCAGCCGACAGCACGGGTGAATGAGGTAGGACAGTATCTGGTCCACGATCTCGACAGGCAGCGTTTCCAGCTGGCTCAACTTGACGTGGGGAGTTGAAGGTATGACGTTGTGATACTGCAGTGGATTGGGCAATGCGACTGCCCCGCGGTGACAATTTTTAGGCGAGGCTGGAATTGGATGTGGTGGTACAAGATTCTCGTGACTGTCAACCAGCAACCGTCCAGCAGTAGGAAGCGAAGAAGGGACCAGCCCTGAGGCGACGGCAGTCATTGAGGCCATGAAGAGGAGAGGAAATGAGCGACAGAATGGAAACGAGCAGACTCTTCACCTTGCTTATAGAACAGGCCGTGAACCTTATACAGGACAAAGGTCAAAAAGTGACGAGTAGAAGCATGCAGGACAGCGGAGCTTCCCACCAACGAGGGGAGAAGTGTGCAGAAAGCTGCATTGCTGCTGCTGTGATTCGTCTAGTTGTCGAGAATCCCGGACAGCTGTGTAGCAGTGTGCAGCCCATGCACATATTTTCGATACTGCATACTGATATATGCTGAGATTGGCGAAGAAGAAGACGACAAGTCGTAGTGCATGTGCACCCAAGTAGTCCGGGTGGATAGCAGACTAGCAAACCGATGCGGCCATCTCCGCCCGGCCCCTTATCGCCTAGCGTCATGTATCATCAACTTACCCGACGGACCACCTTTCGCTCTGTCTGAGACTCGTAACACTGGCCGACAGCGAGCAGCGCGGGAGACAACACCATGGCTGCCCATCCCGACGAGGGACCCGCCGTCGCCCAGCACCCCGCTCCGCCCCCCGCTGGCGCTATCAAGGCTGACCCAGGAGCGGGAGGCGCAACCAAGCCCCGGAACGAGGACGCGCCCGCGCCTGCGCCCGATCAGGATGAGGAAGATGGCGGCGCGTGGGACCAGGCCTCCCTGTACGAGGAGATTCTAGACGAAGTGGAAGCCTTTGAGTACTCGGACGATGGTGAGTCTGGCCAGTATGCGCCTTCCACGCCCACCACCATTGACACCCCATAGGCGTAGACACGTGCACCGCCGACGAGGCCCGCCGCTTGCGCCAGCGACTCCATGAGATTGGCGCGAGCGCATTCGTCATGGAGAACATCACGAGCGAGAAGATGACGGCGCGCAAGCTGTGCACTGCCTTTGGCGTCAAGATTCCCAAGTTTCTCGAAGAGGCGCCCGACGAGAGCTTCTACCAGCTGCTGGGGCTGGCCATCAACCGCGAACTGAACAAGCGGCCGCGGCTGGCGCAGTACAAGACCATCGACGACGCTGCGAAACTGCTGCGCGAACGCAAGAACATCATGGTCATCACGGGCGCCGGCATATCGACCAGTCTTGGCATACCCGACTTCCGCTCCAAGAACACGGGGTTCTACTCGCGGCTGCGCGAGATGGGCTACGACGAGCCCGAGGAGGTCTTTGACATCCACAACTTCGACGAGAACCCCCGCACCTTCTACGCCCTCGCCGGCGACATCATACCCGATCTCGAAAAGTGGACGCCCACGCACGAGTTCATCCGTCTGCTGCAGGACAAGGAGAAGCTGCTCACCAACTACACACAGAACATTGACAACGTGGAGGCGCACGCGGGCATACGCAAGGAGAAGCTCATCCAGTGCCACGGCTCCTGGGCGACGGCCACATGTCGGAAGTGCAAGTTCAAGGTCCCCGGCGAAGACATCTTCGACTGCGTGCGCGCGCAAAAGCCCGCAGAGTGCAAGCGCTGCAAAGACGAAATCGCCGCACAGCCCAGCAAGAAGCGCAAGCGGACCTCTAATGGCAACGGCGCCCGCAAGAAGCGCTCGAGCGACGAAGACTCGGAGTCCGACGGCGCCTTCGACATCCCGCAGCCCGGCATCATGAAGCCCGACATCACCTTCTTCGGCGAAGCCCTCCCCAACGATTTCTTCGACCGCCTCAAGGACGTGGACAAAGACAAAGTCGACCTCGTCATCGTCATGGGCACCTCTATGAAAGTCGCCCCCGTATCCGAAATCCCAAACTTCCTCCCCCGCGACGTACCGCAGATCTACATCTCGCGCGATCCCATCCACCACATCAATTTTGACATCAACCTGCTTGGCGACTGCGACGTCGTGGTTGCGGAGTTGGCGCGCAGGGCGGGCTGGACGCTGGAACACAAGATGATACCCGAGGGGCAGACAACGGAGGTGGAGTTGACGGATGCGGTGGATCATATTTCTACGGTCAAGGTCCATGTTCCTGTTATGACTACCACGAATGGTCACATCAATGAGCAGGCATGAGCTTAACGGCCTACGACAGACGGCATGGCGTTTGAGTATACATAACAAATGGCGTTGTGAATGGTGTTTACATGGATATCGGTTTCGACCGCATGGACGGTGACCCCGTAGGATGGGCTCAAGATTCACAATATGGAGTTTCACATAGGCTTAGGGCGTTTGTGGTATGGATACGAGGGGAGGGATGAAGTGGCGGCATCAGAGATACCATGGACGGGCTATAACAGTGGGGAAAGCCTAAGCCGCAGTCTCCTTGTGTTCACATCTTTTTCTCTAGTTCTTGCATATAGACTTCCTGAACAAAATTCAAGTTCAACTGCAACAACATGTAAACGCACTGTCGCATTTTTACTCCTCGCAGCACAGCTATGAGTCAAACGATAGTTTATCTGTACATTGATAGTTCTCAAAGACGCGCGCTACCGAGGTCGTGCCTGCCGTGCGGCGCGGGCAGCGTACTAGCCTGCCCGCCTCACCCTTCGGAACGTCCCCAGGCCTGCATCACATCTGGCAACCTCACATCACCCTTACGCCGCGAGGCTCCCTTTTGGGTCGTGTCATCGGACGCGCTCCTGCCCACCCAGACCTAAAATCGGCAGCAAATACTCCCATTACCCCCACGCGGCGATGAGACTACACGATGTATACGTAGAGCGATTACGTTGACGATGGCATCGGCGAAGTCTGCAAAGCCTTCACAGCGACTTTGTACTGCAGTATGCTGTAGACTAAAGCGACAGTTCCAACAATAAGACCTGGTAGATGTCAGCTACAAACCGCGTTCATTCGATGGGAGAGCTCATGGAAATACACACTGAGGAATCCGAGCAGAGCTGTCAAAAAAAGACCGAGTACAGCTATTGTCAGAGCGTTTCTTTCTGACGGATACCTTTCTAACCAGGCGATAATGCCACGTGGTGGTGGCCCCTTATCTACTACCCTCATTAACCTTGCCACCCGATCGCCGAAATACTTGTACTCCAACTCCTCGCCCTCTGGTAAGCTGCGAAGGCGACCATTGTATTCCTTAGCCTGTGGATCGAAACCCCACCCCTTGACGAACTTGTCAAGCGATCTGAACGACCGCGCATTTTCTGGGAAGAGAAGATACTGTATAGAGTCGAGCGCCTCTAGTAAGAGCTGGGGTGGCAGAGTTCCTCTGTGGTGTGTAAGCTGCGAGAAGGACGAAGTACGCATGAAGATGAGCTACCTCTCCAGACTTTCCTTGAAACTGCTATCAATCGAATGGTCACGCGAGCGATAGAGATGCGCTTTCAGGAAGCCAACGTGCCGGAAGACGTGAAGAACACGATCTTCTGGTTCGAATACGAGGTGTTTGGCCAGGTCGTCGGTCGTATGCAGGCTTATCTTGTACCACTCCTCTAAGTCCCAAGCATGCAACCTATCCCGCTGTGCCAGTGCACTCTGGGACTCTTCGCGGACTTTTTGGTTTTGAGCAGACGAAGGGAAACAGCGCTCAACAAAGTCAGCGAATGACTGCCCACCCATCCATTCTCGAGGCACGTAATCGCCAGCTTTATGACTTGAGAACTTCCGCCAGGGCTCGCAGTCAATCATCAGTGACACCTGCAGCAACTGTCGTATTGCGGAGTCCCACGATCTGGCAGCAGAATTGGCTGCGAGAAGAAAGCCGAACTCCCTTTTGTTCTGTGATGCGTTGCTGATAAGCTTTTCGAAGAATGATACTTTCTCTCCATGACTCAGATGTCCCGACTCGGCAGGGTATGCCACGAAATCATCGGGTGATCCTGTCAACAGCATTTCGTAATACCTGAAGTAGGTCTCATACCGTTCCGGGTAGCTCGCAGCTTCGTCACTAAGAAACCTGTTCGCGATCTCTTCCTTTTCGGCAAAGGTTGGCGGGTTCATGTTGATCAGGCATGCTATGACTAAATTAGGTCGCGACTAACCGTGAGGTCTTATAACAAACGGTTGTGGTCCGGGCCCCTGCTGGCTGCCAGCTCATGGCACATTGGGGGGCGCAGTTACCGTGCTTCAGGATATGCAGTCTTTCAGCTTATGCGTCATCCCTGCACCCTCCTCCGGTACCATTGGACTCCCGTCGATTACTGCAGTAGATTACGACCACACGCTTCGCCACCACCTGATTGGCTGGAAAAGACCATCAAAGCTGCAACTCGTCGGTATAGGAGATCAACTATCATGCATATACCGCGCTATCTTGACGACGTGACTTTTACAACACTCACTCATTCCTGAACTACATCAACAATCTCTCATTGAACTACCTCACCCCCTTGAACGCCTCTAGTTTATTACAATACGGAAATCTTGTTAGCCTTTTAAACATCTTCATGAAATCCTCATGGTTCTTCAAAGTCTTTACCTCACCTCAACAGCCCATGGTGAGGAATCTTAAACTAGCAAGCGCCTCATTATCGTCTTAGTTGCGTCTTCTGTGTGGGTTGTTTTGTGTCTACCTACCGCCCTCGGGCATCACTGTCTTTTCCATTCTCCATACACTCAATGCTTCACTTCACGTCTCTTCCTTTCCTCATCAAGGCAAAAGGTCCATTGTCATGCACGTGTCCAGTATTCCTCATTCCGTTGTTCGCATTCGACGTCACTGATGGTACGTCACAAGGTTCGTAAACGCCACGCACTCTCAATTCTACTCCCCGTCACTGTCGATCTACAGAAGGTTCCTTTGCCGTTTTGCCGCTGTTCTCACTTCGTAAGCCAATCGGGACGTCGTGGTCGTAATGCGCGCTTCTGGTCCGTGCTTCTTGTTGTTTTCGCGCTCTCAAAGCCGCCTTCACTTGCGCCTTCACCTCACCAGATCAGGCCATATTGGACGCCTAGAACGTTCTCCAGGCAAAAATATGCTCACAGAATACGTCAGTCACCTGGTATTCAGACGCGCTAGCGCCGACTGCCGGTGATCTGCCGGCTCACCCTCTGTCTATATAAACCCCCCATTCCCCCGCCTCTCTCCCTCTTAATTCCCACTCGCTCACTTCTCCAACAACTCAAGTTTACTATCTCCAACAAACTTCAGTACTATGGCCGCATTCTTCCAAGTAAGTACTTCCTTTCCCTTCCTCACTTCACTTCAGTCTTGGCTAACATTTTCAGACATCGGCCTTTACTCATGGTGTATGACATCACCCATCAACAATCATCATGAGTAACAACAACATCAATCCTTCCTCACTCGACTGTCGACAGTCAACATGACTTCACTTCACTTCCAACTTTCGGCCTCGCCTTCAACATCACCGCCTCGCATGCCTCACTCACACCCGCCTCGGTCCAACCCACCTACCTCACTTCGATTCGACCCTCAACTATCTTGACACCCATGTCACCTTCGGTCTACCCTACTATCACATCGAACTCGCATCGTCTTACTACATCGGCTCATTGCCTCTACTTATCGACATGCACCACCATCGACGGCACCGCGGCACAGGCACCAACCTCTCTGGCACCGGCTCGATTCTCCTTTGACTGTCGACAGTCTCACGCCACTCCCGATCGTATGCGCGTCGCGAAAGTCAAGTTGTGGCACAGGGATGCAGGCCAGGCTGCATGGTTGGCCCTTGAGTTGGTAGCGGTTTGGATCAGAAGGACTGGCAAGAGCGGAGGATCAGTGGTGTTGGGTTCAGTCACTGTCACTGTTGGACACTTTCACATTGGATGTTGATGCCATCTCGAGATTGCCTCGAGACAACAAGGTTGGAGGATAGACGGTCAATGGCGCTTGCGCTACACTGGGCCTCTTGTTGTTCTCTTGGGTGTCTTCGGACCCCAGGATGGTTGATCATCTTATCTGAACCAGATGGCGGCTTCTTCGGAAGTTCAGGTCAATTCTGGTGATGATAGTGGAGTGTCGGCATGTTCGACGAGCACTGTTCTTGACATCGCTGCTGGTGAGCCCTGGTTTGGTTGATGGTTGGACTTGATGGACTTGATGGTGGTGGTTGGATGGCGCAAGGACTTGGTGTTGGTTGGATATCTTCTTGGTCGGCTGGATGGAATATGGACTTCTTGTATGGGTTTCAACTTCAGGGTTCCAACTGTGGTGGTGGTTTAGTTTAGCGGGCATTCTTGGGTCCTCAATCAACCAACTTTGTCATTACATCTTGTTCCCTTCTTAACTTCGTGAGTTCTTACTTGTTTGACTTCTTACCTTGACATCTTCTACCTTATGCATTCCACATTGCCTTTGCCTACAACACATTCCAAATGTTTTGTTGATGCTCACCTTCTAAGGCCTTAGCATTCCTCGCTATTAAACTCTAAAGTAGATATTCTTGTATACATCTTAGGCAAAGGCGTGCGCGACTCTATGTATTAATCTCTCATGTCTCTCTTTACCTTATTTCTGTTGCATTCTTCTCTAGAAGAAGAGAATGTAGACGCTACACAGCAGGTAAAACCTATACAGCGCGCACATGTGCAAAGCAGAAGATATATAGCAAGCAACTAATGCACGCATTGCACCTTCTTCTATCCCTTCTCTAGCCCGCTAGTCTAGAATCACGATCTCTCTCTCCTTTCTTCTTCCTCGCCGCCCTCTTACACAAGCCATATAATCCGTATCCCGCGCTACCAACCCTCCCAACCCCATCGTCCTCCACTCCTCCTCCAACGCCTTCTCCGCATACGCTATCCTACCCTCTTCCGAGCGCATACTACCCGGTATCTTCTTCTTTTCCTTCTCCTTCCCCAGCATCTCCCCATCCCCATTGCGCGACGCGTCCGAACACACATACCACCCCAAAGTGGGCTCATACTGTATACCCAAATGTCTAACAATACGGTCGTGTTTCGCGCGGCGATTGCGCATATAGCTTTCGTCGCGCGCTGCGTCACCGAGCCGGGATCGTATGTGTGCGGCGCGGGCGCGAACATCGGGGGCGGATAGCATGATGCATGCGGCGCCCATGATGGGGTATGGTGCTGTTACCAAAGGAGGGAGATCGAGGTGCAATGGCGACGGGGTAAACAGGTCAAGTTTAGAGAGCTGTGTGGATTGCATGGCTTGCGTCATTGTCTTGCCTTTTCGTTAGCACTGTCGCATATACGTCGAGAATTGTTGAGGTCCCCAGAGCGTACATACCATCTTCTCATACTCCTTCTTATCGCATGCCAGACAACATGCTATGGTCTTGTACAGGCACGCTTTCCGCTGTGTCTTCTTCTTGCAGAAGTAACACATGTCGCCCAGCCATTTTCGACGGCACGTGTATATGCGCGTGTTCTTCGGTGGGACGATGTCGGCGTGGCGTTTGAGGAGGTTGCGCGCGTATTCTTCGACGATGGCGTTGAGGTGCTTGTTTGTTGCCGCGAGCGCGTTGAGCGGGTAGGTCGGGAGGGTGGGGTTGAGGTTTGGCTCCGTGTAGGAGAGGATGGTGAAGAGGATTTCGGGTGGGAGAGTGTCGAGGTTGGCCATGTTGGGTGATATTGCGCGATGAATATGGGATATTCTGGTGTTGCGATGATGCGATGCGCTCACTCGAGGGCGGCTTTAAGCGGCGGGGTTAAGCCAGTGGGCGTCTTGGCGCGCGTTGCGCGTCGTCATGCGCGTTTCTATCACCTTACGACGACTGCCATTGTTCATGAGTTAATTGAAGAGGGAATCTTCAGCTCAGCACACGTTTCTATTACTTTGCCCTCTAGTAGGCCTCCCATGCCCACGTGCCACGTAGACATACCTCAGACGCACCAGGACATGACCGAAAGCGAACCTCTCAGTACTACAGTCGACCTCTTCTGGATATCGCCCAACTCCTATTCGGCAAGGCCGGGATACTGAGATTTGCTTAGTACAATGGAAGACGAAGGAACTGATGATGTCCGAATGTAGATGGCATTGGAAGTAGATGGCGAGCCCCATTGTCGCCTCTACTTGGTACTGGCCTCTCCTGTAGTGTAATTTGGGATACATCACCAGCGACTACACATGCTAATGGATGCTAGCCACCAGACATTTCTACTCGAAGCGATGCGATATACCACACGGGTACCCTCTCAGGCCACCCAGCGATCCCGCACGAGACCCACGAACACCGCGACAAAGAGCCTTTACAAGTCCCTGATAGTTGCGATATTTATCATCCGAAAGTACCTTTATGGACCGGATACTATTCATCGCAGATTTCGTTAGTGGCTCGCTCTCGCTCTACATCGGTGCAGTAACCACACTGCGTGAGATTGAGCGCCGCCTACGAGCTTGGACACAACGTGGAAGTGCTCGGGCAGGACGTGCGTCTTAGCGAGTTAATCGATGCTGATGATTAGCTCTATGTGCTATATCTTCTCTCATGCGACAAGGCGACACTAGGCTGCGTCATGAAAGCGACGGTACACAATTGGGGCTTTTTGGGAACAGTACTCGAACCGAGACGAGTGAGATTGCAATCAGGAAATGAGGATCCAATCAAGGCTTTGCCCAGATGTGCTGCTGATGCTGTATGCAAGGAGCTCCATCTCAGGCACTCACGTCGGCAAAGATAGGCGGAAGGCATGCCTCCAGCTTACTCTAGTCAAGCGAGCCAGCCCGCAGTATTGGAAACGAGACCCTACGGACTGGTCAGTGCGGCTCAACGGCACGTCGCGTGTACTCAGGTTGCAACTATGCCTTTCGAAGAGCAGCGTGTGTGGAGTCTAGCTGCCACTTGCTGCAGCCAACTTCTTACCGCGACAACGGGCAATCCAGTTATGACATCCTTGCGGCAGGGCTGAGTAGTGGAGAACAGGAGCCGGCTGGGCACTGGCAACTCATTTCGATGGCAGTGCAGAAGCAACGCCGCTTTATACCCCATATACCCCGTTATAACCTTCTCAGCTCGTATAGTGGAGAGCCACACGGCGCTGCCACCCCACGCGAAAGCCAATCCGGACACGAGTTACATCACGCACGGGATGGAGGCATATGCCCTCTTCACCATGTTCGTTGTCGGGATTGGTACAGTTGCTCTTCCCGGTCTCTGGGTCTTCATTGGTTCATCTCGTCCTCAGCCCTGGTGCCACGAGATATGATCAACCTGCATCCTGCATTAATGATTGGATGTGCTCAGCCTGAGCAACGGTCTCATCGTCGGTCCACCGAACCAGGTGGGCCTTAGGTGGGCCAACCGAGTAGTCAAAGAAGGAGGCTAGCTACCAAACTGTCGGAACTGCACGGAGCCTCCCTTTCGGCTCGGCTCATCATCCTTCAACATACACTGCCGTGTTTCAAGAGGGCTTTGCTAGGCGTAGGAGACAATGTTGAGCTAGTGGTCCGTCGAGGTGTGTGACGAGAAGCGGTAAGTTCCTGAGTGCCCGACCAATCAAATGGACCGCCCAGCCCCAAGTACGCCTACGCCCTTTCGCGCATGCGAATTGCTCATGTGCGCGAAGACCTGTCTCGATTCGATTTGCCACATATCGGTAGCTACGCGACGTGAGAAGGGCCGACTCCCTTCCTCGAGAACCTATGCCTCCACCCTAGCGTTCCCGCGGGACGAGACCCGCTGGCTATCGTGAGTCAGACGCAAGTGGTTTGATTGAACAAGTCCTCGAAAACGAATGCTAGAAATTGCGTGTAACACGCCCCTTCTAGAGGCGGCCCGCATGCTTCGGGGGCACAGGGCACAGGGGGCAGGGGGGGTGCCTGAGGCAACTAGATTCATGGTGGATTGGAGTGAATACCTAACAGAAGGACTCCCACTGGACGTGTCCTCGTCTTCTTAAACTGTCTTCGTGCCCGCTGTCACTCTCTCACTCCCGCCTTTCACGCTCACACTCCAAGTGACCTTCAGACTCCTCCATCATTCATCTTTATCTGACACCAGACTGACCCGCCACGCATCAGGTGACTGGCCTAAAGCTCATCCACGTCTCACACGCCCCTGTACCTGATCGCATCCTTCAGCCGCAATCTCTCGATCTAGGCTATCCCTTCCCTTCCCTGACTCCGCTTTCAGCAGTCACTCGCTACACACAACGTCTTCACGCATCCAACTAGTCCACTCAAGACAGGATGAGCGGATCACAGCGTCGCTCTGGCGGTAGCACTAACGGTTCAGGCCGTAACGGCGGTGGCGGCCGTAGCAGCAGCTCTCGTGGTTACTCATACACGAACGTAAGATCTTTTCATTGCATGCGTTGAGACTCGCCGCTAACGAGACGCAGTCTACCTCGGGAGGAGGCGCATCTACTCCAACTACACAAAGCAACGGCTACGATCCACGAAACGATTCCGTATACGCACAAGTGCAACGCTCATCATGGTCTTACCACGCGTACGCAAACGACGCGGCAGACAACCAAGCCCAATCCACCGCACCTCCCTCTCAAAGACGTCAAGTCCAAGAACCTCGCGCCTCCAACGGTCCATATCAGTTCGAGACAGATCACTCTTCCCCTCATTTGCGCGTCCAACGTTACCAAATGTCCGAGAGTGACTTCCACTCATCGCCGCCGCCTCACGCGTCCTCGTCGGCGGAGCGCCGTGCGCAGCCGGATCCGTACCAGCCTCCCATTGGTGGTTATCCTTCCGCTTCAACTGCGCCCCAATGCTCCGGGCCCTACGACGCCGTCGGCTACATCAGACGTGACGGTGCGGTGTTCGATCGGGATGAAGTGTATGAGGAGTACAGGCCGTACGACCCATACGCTCATCAACATGGACAACAACGATTTAACGGAAGTAACTGAACATCGGATTGAATGACAACACGACGGTACGATACAGGATGAGAGAAGAATTGGTTTCCTTATATTTATGTCTATGGTTGATGAGGGCGAGTGGGGGCCGACCGGCTGAGGTTGCAGCCCCAGGCGCCAGTCTTTTCGGCAGTCATCTTTGGGTTCACCTCAGCCTACTGTCCCAGCACTTGGTGTATTATTTCTCACGCATGATGATGTTGGAGGATTTTCCATCCAGCCTCGTTGGCTGGTACGCGTTCTCGCGTTCAGCTGATGCCTATCTTTTCATCTAGACTGTCTGGCACAGTCGTTGTCTCATTGTACTCGTACACGATTTTTGGAGCGTATTAGCAAGTAGGTAGTTTTGGCGTTTGGTGTGCATTTCAATGTGAAAGCTTCTCAGTAGCCAATTCTCATGTCTCCTCCTACTACTATGAAAGTGTCGAAATTCTGCGTTTCCTAGCTTCAGCCCGAACGACTTCCGAGCCTCGGTTGAGCCGCATTCTGCTCACAAAGTCGTCCGCCCGTGAAGTTGACATGCTCACCACTCACCGGTACGCCGATCTCGATTTCTCGCAACATCGCTTACACTCACCGGAATTTAGTCGCCGAGAAGGACTCGGTGACCGGAAACGCATGCATGGAGAAAGTGAGACATGTGCTAATATCGGCTTGGTTCCAATATCCAAGAGATGAGCGCGGTCGTGCGTTGGTGTTCTAACAGCCAGTTGATCGTTGAAGGACTCAGGCGCTTATGCAATGAAGTATTCAGTCCTCCGTGAAGGCGTCGATGTGACGCGCGTCCAGAAATTGAGGACTCATTCAGCTCATCTCGCGTTTGATGTGAGTTTGTCGCGATTGACCAAGGAGGTGTGAGCCCGTAGATATCTGTGTCGTTCTTCTGCGTGGCGGCGATCTTACTGCAGGGTTCGCCTTTGCTATAGCTGCGGAGCATTTGTCTAATCTGTCGGTAGGTGAGTGCTTTACCTCCTGCATGCGTCGTTCCTACCGATCAGAAGCAACGAAGCGGTGCCAGTTGCGCCTAAGAGGGAGGCATGCCACACAGCCAGCAAAGTGGGGAACATGACCGTAAGCCGCATTAAGCTTCGATGCGGCTCTGAGGCTACAAGGCAACCGGACCCAAGTACAAGAGGGCACACTTGTCATGGGCGCTTAACGCCAGTCGGAGAGAGCGTCTTGTAGTGCGAGTCACCAGTCATTGGCACTTTGAGGGACGCGCACGAAGGGCACGGCGAAGGGCACGGTGGATGCTTCGATGGGGGTGATACGGTTGGAGGACGGTCCGCTAGAACGGGGCGTAAGCTGCAGACCCTGTCCCAATTGATGCGGCTCTAGTTGGAGTTGAACCTGTTCCAGCAGGGTCGTGCCTGTTAGAAATCTGTCAGATGCATACGCTATACGGTAGGCCGGACCCATTTCCGGGTCGAAGGTGCGATTGCATCCATGGATTGATTGGGTTTTGACGTGCGATATCGAGGTCGAGAAACCTGTCGGTCAGATCCGAAATTTCTGCATGCTTATCGCGCATTGTGCCTGCACAAAGGCATTGTGTGACGAAATTGGTTGCTGCGGCCGTCGGCTCCGGCTGACGCGACCTCGGGAGCGAGATGAGATGGAGCGGGAAGTGACGTGATCTTGGCAAGCGATTGGCACGGAACGCATCGCACTAGCGCGCGTCAAAACGTGTCCCATGTTCCCCCGCTTTTGACGTGCCAAGGTTGGAACGTCGTAGCAAAAGAG